GGATTGGATCGTGTATATGAAAAAGATTCTTTTTTGTTTGTTTATTTTGCGACAGGGTCTTGCCCTGTTGCCCAGGCTGGAGTGCAGTGGCGTGATCTAGGCTCACTGCAACCTCTGCCTCCCAGACTCAAGCAGTCTTCCCACCCCAGCTTCCCAAGTAGCTTGGACTACAGGCGTGCGCCACCACTGCAGCTAATTTTGTTTTCTTTTGGGTAGAGATAGGGTTTCGCCATGGTGCCCAGGCTGGTCTTGAACTTTTGGCCTCAAGAGATCCATCTGCCTTGGCCTCTGAAAGTACTGGAGTTACAGATGTGAGCCACCATGCCTGGCAGAATTGTTGTTGAGACAGGGTCTCACTCCATCACCCAGGCTAGTGTACAGTGGCGTGAACATGGCTCACCACAGCCACGACCTCCTTTAGTCAAGCAATCCTCCTGCCTCAGTCTCCCAAGTAGCTGGGACCACAGGCACACAACACCATACCTGGCTAATTTTTAAAATTTTTCATAGAGACAAGGTCTCCCTGTGTTGCCCAGGCTGATCTTGAACTCTTGGGCTCAAGTAGTCCTGCTACCTGGGATAGCAGGTGTAAACCACTGTGTATGGCTAAAAATGAATAATTTTTTCCCCTGCAAAATTAATTCTAAGGACTTCCGCACCCCATTCAGGAAATCATTGGCTTTTTTTGCCTTTTTCATTTAAAGAGATATTTTATTTCTATGTCTTACAACGTTTTAAATCTTATTATTTCAACTCATTATTTTATGTTATGTTATGTTATGTTATTTATTTTTGAGACAAAGTTTTTGCTCTTGTTGCCCAGGCTGGAGTGCAGTGGCGCAATCTCGGCTCACTGCAACCTCCGCCTCCTGTGTTCAAGCAGTTCTCCTTTTTCAGCCTCCCAAGTAGCTACGATTACAGGCATGTACCACCATGCTCGGGTAATTTTTTTTGTATTTTTAGTAGAGACAGGGTTTCACCATGTTGACCAGGCTAGTCTCGAACTCCTGACCTCAGGTGATGTGCCCACCTTGGCCTCCCAGAGTGCTGGGATTACAGGCATGAGCCACTGCGCCGGCCTTTTTAGTTTTAATTTTAATATTAGTTGTCTGGCTTATGAAGTAAAATTATTCTCTAAATGAAAATTTGGGCAAGGGTATTTTGGAGAGTCAATTTCAAAGCTTATTTTAAAAGCTTAGTTCAAAGGGGTACTATAATACATTTAGGAAATTGCTCTATACTTGAAATCCCCTAAAAGTTTGTGTTTCTTCATTATTCAGATGAGTACATCAAATTCTAGAGCTTTTGAATTTCTTATCCAAGATCATATAGTTACTTTGTGAAAGAGATGAGTCAGTCAACTCTTTGACCTTGTAATTGCAGTGTTCTACCACATCAGACTACCCTCCTCCTACCTTTTACTATTTATGAGATTAGTTTTGGCAGCCGGCTTCTGTGGCTTCTCTCCATGGTGCTAGAAGTGCACAAATGTACTTACTTTTGTGTTAACTATCTAAAGGATTTCTTGCTCCTTTGACCCTTTTTGTTCCTCTAAACCTCCTACTAAACTGAAAGATATATATTCTTGTAAGCTTTTTTAAAATTAAAAAGCAGATAGAAACAATCAAAAAGCAAAACCTCAGTATATCATTTTTTATTTATAGTAATTTACCTTCTAGAAAGCTTTTCTGTTCATAAGCCCCAATGTATTGTTTCCTTCCCAACATTCCATAAATTACTTCACTAAAACTCTAATAACCTGTAGTTAAATAAATGATATCTTAGAATCAAAGGTATTAGAAGTGTAGATAGCACCCTTTGATTATTTCAGTTTACTTTTCTGTTATTGGAACCTATATTTGAGTCTGTGTTTTCTACAGGTACAGTTTTGGGATGTTTAAAGTTGGAGGACCTATTAGAAGTCAGCTTTAAACTCCTAACTGTATATATGCTGAAAAGTGATAGTGGCAAATCTGGGCATTTCTTTTTTTTTTTTTTTTAATTTTGTTTTGAAATATAGATTCACAAGAAGACACTATTTCATTGTATTTTTCTTCTAATTATTAGCAAAAGTGAGAAGTAATTTAATTTTTCTAAAGGAAATGAAAACAATTTTCCTCTTTTTTTAAAGGGCCATTTGAATTGTGAAAAAAATACATTTTTTGCAGCAATTTAGAGAACATGGATTTTTCTTTAAAAAATTAGTAGTCTCCTAACTCCATTTTGTCTTTTGTGAAATAACAACATTTTGGTGTCTAAACCTCCATATGTCTATTTTCTTAGTGAAATAAATTAAATATATACACATACAGGGTTTGTATATTTTTATGAAAGTAATTGTATATTCATACTTGCTGTTCTTTAAAAAGTATAACTAGAATAGACATTCTGATCAACATACCTTATATCATAATTACTTAATGATTTTCCTGTTAATGGACAGTATACTGTTTGTAGCTTTCTACCCCGCCCCCTTTGTTTTTTTTTTTTTTTTTGAGACAGAATCTTGCTCTGTCACCAGGCTGGAGTGCAGTGGCACGATCTCGGCTTACTGCCATCTCCGCCTCCTGGGTTCAAGCAGTTCTCTTGCTTCAGCCTCCCAAGTGGCGGGGAATACAGGCGTATGCCACTATGCCCAGCTAATTTTTGTATTTTTAGTAGAGGCAGGGTTTCACCATGTTGGCCAGGATGGTCTCGATCTCTTGACCTTGTGATTCACCTGCATCGGCCTCCCAAAGTGCTGGGATTACAGGTGTGAGCCACCACACCCGGCCTGCAGTTTTCTACTCTTATAATGCTGTAGAACATAGCCAAACACTTGGCTATGTTGGTGTCACTATTTATGTAGGATTGATTCTTAATTAGGAGGTGGTATAAGGGAGTGGTTAAGAGCACAGATTATCTAGGGCTAAAACTTCATAGAAGGAATCCAGGCTGTACTAATAAGTGTGTAACTTAAGGCAAAGTAATGTGTTCCCATTTCCTCTTTTGAAAGAGGGACTAGATCATTGATCCTCTCTACTTCTCTACTTTGGGTAAAAACTAACTTCTTTGACAGGCTAGATGGGGTTTAAAAAAAAAAAAAAAAAAGAAGTTACCTGGCTGTTAACTAAAGAGATTGATCATTTTTTTTCATGTATTTTAATCACTTGTAATTCTTCTGTGAACTACTTACCGTTTTCTTGTCTCTTTTTTTTTTTTTAAACTTGTCTTTGTCTTACTGCTTTGTAAGATTTCTTTATACATTCTGAACATTAGCTTTTCTTTATATGTAGCAAACGTATCTTTTACTCTGATGCTTATCTTCAATTTTATTTATATTTTCTTCTTTCCATGTTGCTAAGTTGCTTAGTTGATTGCCTCCTTTTATGACTTGTGAATTTTTGTTTTGCTTATGAAGGCCTTTTGTATCCCAAGATTTAAAAAAAAAAAATTCTGTTCTTTTTTCTTTAACACTTCAATAATTTATTGATCACTAGATCATTTGGGATTTTTTTAAATTGCAGTATTAAATTATATACTATTTTTTTCTTCAAATGGACAGCCCAGAGTCCCATCACTGTTTATGAAATGGTCCAGCCTTCCCAACTTGAGTTATACATTTTATCAAATATTAAAATCTCATAAATTCATGAGTCTGTTTCTAGATTTTTCTAATTTTGAGACAGGGTCTCACTCTGTCACCCATGCTGGAGTGCGGTGGCACAATTATAGCTCACTGCAACCTTGAACTCTTGGGCTCAAGCGATCCTCCTGCCTCAAGCCTCCCAAGTAGCTAGGATTACACCACCATGTGCACCACCATGCCCAGCTAATTTTAAAATTTGTTATAGACATGGGGGCTTTGCTATATTGTGCTGGTCTTGAACTCCTGGCCTCAAGTGATCCTCCTGCCTTGGGCTCTCAAAGTGCTGGGATTACAGTCATGAGCCACTGTACCAGCTATATGTAGATTGTTTAGTTTCTTTGCTCTTTTGTCCATTTTTATACTAATAGGAAATTATTTAAATTACTGTAGCTTTATAGTATAATTTAGTATGTGATAGGGCAAATTCCCACTTTTTCCCCCAGAAGCTTCAAAATGATTCTCATGCATTTATTCTTGTATGTAACCTTTAGGATCAGTTTGTCCAATTATGTGAAAAATTACCACCATGATTTTGGTGGGATTACTATAGAATTATAGATTAGTTTGCAGGCTCTCAGATTTTAACTTAAAATGGTGATTTCAACTTAACCTTTTAATCTAACAGTGACTTTAGCCTAAACTGTTACCTGAAAATTTAAAACTCCCCATAATCTAAAAAGTTATGTTTTTTAACTTTTCAAAAAGTGTTTGTGATATGAAGGTCTATTTGTTCCCTTCTTTCTTCCTGTTTCTTGTAGGCTTTTTGTAGTATTACCATAGGAATACTTTTGTTTAACACATGTTTTTCAGAAGTTTTCATTGGCATATTATTACGTAATTAGTTGTATAGTTAAGGTCTATGGTTCTGTGGCATCCTAGTTTTTCTGAGTTTTAACCTATATTTTCTGTGTCAAGAGTTTGATGTTAACATGTAACTGTAGATGACTGAGGTCTCTTGTTTTCATTTGATTCGTTTTATAAATTGTGACAAACTTCAGAATAGTGTAATAGTCTTCTAGTTATGTGGCAATATTACTAGGTTTTAGGTCAAAGATGAGACAGTTAAGAGTGCAGTTTTACCTTATTTATTCCCCTAAAATGTGTTACGATTAGTGCTATAGGCTAGTACTAAATGTTTTATGAAGAAAAAAGGAACTTCTTTTATATTTACATTGAATCTAAAATATTAATGATGCCAGGCCTTTTGTTTTGGTATTCAAAAATTTTCAGAAATCCATTCTCAAAGCCATTTCAGGTTGATAACAGTAGTTGCTCAGTCAGTTTTTTCAACTTTTTTGACAGTGTGACTCTTAATTGTTGACTGTGCCATTTTTCCAGTAGTAAACAATGTATTTTGTTTCTTCTCATGCAGGTCGTCAGAGTCCTACATTTTAGCTTTCAGTGCTGAACTTCCTTCTCCCTTAAATTATTATAAACTTTTGCTGCTGTTTAATAAACGTGAAGATGTCTCGCAGTCCTGACGCGAAGGAAGACCCTGTGGAGTGCCCTCTTTGCATGGAGCCCTTGGAGATAGATGATATCAACTTTTTCCCTTGCACCTGTGGCTACCAGATTTGCCGATTTTGTTGGCATCGAATTCGCACTGATGAAAATGGGCTTTGTCCTGCATGTAGAAAGGTAAATACTTCAAAATAACTTCACAGTGATTTGTTTTAATTGTATAGTTTTTCCTGCCATGTATATGAGCAAGTGAATTTAAAAGACTGTGCAAACCTCACCTGATTATCTTATTTTATCATGTATATTATTTTAAGACATAATAAGGTGGAAAGAACACTGCACTGTGAGTCAGGGCCATGTCTTGGCTTTGTTTACTAGCTGTATGATCTTTGTAAAGTCATGTAACCTCTCTGATTGGCCTTTAGTTTGTTGTTGTTTTTATCTGAGGAGAAAGACATGGTCAGGGATGCTTACTGCTTAAGAAAATTAAGAATAGAGAGGTAATGGATTTGGATAGGGTTGCATGAAATTAGAAAAACATGTTATATTACATGTGGGAGGAAATTCACTTCAACTTTCTAATACAAAATAAGAGAGAAGATGTTTACTAAAGAGGGTTAAAATGACAGAGAAATCCTGGTTCAGAAGATAATAATTGCTCATTTCTTGAGCCCTTACAGCAATTTTAGGCTGGTATTGATATTCCCATTTTACACTCAAGGAAACAGGAGCTTAGAGAACTTATCCAGAGTCATCAACTTGTGAGTAGTAGGTAGGAAGTTTGGAATTCAGATATGTCTTTTGAGTCTATGTAGTCCATTCTGAACTGTTGTATTATTGAAAAGCCCCTCCTAACTTTAAAAATCTGTTATTTTTAATATTCTGTGAGTTTTATTGTTTTGATAAGCACCAGCAACACAATTACAGTATAGTGAATTAACTACCAGGATAGGTAGGACTGCTGCATATGTATTTTGAAGGACTTTATTTGTGACCTTAGAGATTAATGCAAATATCTGCCACTTTATTATGGAATTTGCCTTTTCTTTAATGTTTGTATAATTTAAACTTTATTTTCTAGTTACCCATTTCAAAGACCTCTTGTGTTCATTACTGTCAAATTTTGAGAAAGCTGAAATGTGCTTTAGATATCTAAAATTTAAAAAATAATCTACCTCTCAGTTTTCTTATCTGAGAATTTGTGGTAAATCTCAGAAGGCGGTGCATTGTTTATTTATCATTAGATTTTAAAGATTAATCCAGTGGGTATGTATATGTATTATATGAATAAAAAGTTAGGTCTATTTCAATGTTAATGTAGTTTATACATTTATATAGTTACATGTATATTGTATATATAACATATATAATGTGTGTATATAATTTGCATATGTAATATTTCACATAGTTAATATAGTTTAAGAAATGTGAATGGAAAGGTAAATGAAAACTCTAACATTAGCTTTGGGCAAAATCTATATAAATTTTTGTTTATGAATTTTAAACAATTATATTTTAGAAATTGGTTCCCAGTCTTTCCATAAGAAGACAATCATATTGAACTATTTCATCAGAAGTAATGACTTTCAGGATTGCCCAAGACTCTAAGGATTGTAAATTTGTTGGCTTCATGTGTTTATCTTTTTCTTTTCTTTTTTTTTCCCCTTTGGGATGTTACGAAGTCACCTTAAAAGGACCAATTATTAAATTGTCATTAGAGAAAAATAAGTTATTTGGGGAAATTACAAAGAAAACCATTTCAGTCTTAAGAGATTACCTAAAATTACTTCAAGTCCTTAGAAAGTTAAAAAAAAAAAAAAAGATTTTAAAGTTAAAAACAGTATAACTTTAGCAACACTTGATATGAATAAAAGGGTGTCCTGGGAATACCAGAAAGTGTGAGGAATCTCTGAAAGACAAGAAGGATGTTGGAATCAATTTCAAGGAGGAAGCATTAGATCAGCTCAAGAGAAAACTGCTTAAAAAAAAAAAAAAAAAAGGAATGACAGTGCCTCAGGATCCTAGGAAACATATCAATGTAGTTGGTCGAGTATGGTCTCAGAGCAGCCTTATGGGCCTACCCCCTTTTTTGTACCATGTAGCAGAGACAGATGCCCTCTAATTAAAACAGTGATTATAAATTTGAATCAGAGCCTTAAGGTTAATGGAAGCATTCTGGAGGAACTAGGAGCTTCTATGCCTAGCAGATTACCTGTCTAGCAATATGTCTTTGCTACAGTCACAAAGGAGAATCTTGCAGTAAACAGAAATAGCATTTATAGGCAGATTACCAGGATTCTCACATGTAAAGATGTACAAAAGCAAAGAATTAACACAGATTTGAGGAAAACCAACATCATGAAAGAGAAGCACAAAAATCAGTAAATAGAAGATCCTAACACAGGAAACAAAACAGAAAGACATTTAAAACTATCATTGGTACCTTTCAGAAAGGAAAGAGAGAATGGCATATTCATGTAGAAAGACTATATTTCCTTATGAAAAGAACCAATTAGAGAGATCTTGAAAAAGCTTATAGATGGCCTGAAAAGCAACATTTTAAGAGCAAATTGGTAAATTGGAAGCTTGTGCTGAGTGAGTTTTTATTGAAGAATATAATGCAACAAGAGAAAAAATTGAAAGCATGAAAGAAAAGCAACATAGATCCACAGGTTCTAATCTCTGCTGAGAGCAGTCTCAGAGGAGTGAACTAAAAATGAATAGGAAGAAATAATCAAAGAACTAATAGAAGAAAATTCCTCTTAGATTAGAAAGACCCTGTGAGTTTGAAGCAAGATGACTGAAAAAGATCAATATCTGTTTATGTAATTGTGAAATTTTAGAACATCTGGAATAAAGGGAAAACTTTAAAAGCTTGTGAGAGATAAATATTTAGAATACAAAAGAACAAGGCTAAAATTAATACCAGTATTTTCATTTTACAATTATAGAAAATAAACTAATTGATAAATTTATTTTCCCAAATTTTGAGGGAACGTAACTTTGAAAGGAGAGCTCTCAATTTTATTAATGTGTAAAGGCATAATAAAACATTTTCACACATGCAAAGATTCATGAACTTTATTATTCATGAACCACTATACAAACAAATGGAGAGTTGAGGATGACTGCAAGGTTTTGACTGAACACCTGTAAGTAGAGAATGACCATAAACTGAAATGGGGAGGACTTCACCAGGAATAGATATTTGAGAAGATCAGAAACTCAGTTTTAGACATGTTAAGTATGAGATTCCTCTTAGAAATCTAAGTGGAGATATTGCGTAGACAGTTGAATGAATGTACATTTCTGGATTTCAGGTAAGATTCTGGTATGGAGATAAAGATTTGGGGGTCAGTTAGCATATAGTATGTTATTTATAGTATCATGAGACTGGATAAGATCATGAATTGAAAAGATAAAAGATTGTCTAAGGATAAGCACTAAAACTTTCCAACAGTTACAGAAAAAAGAAATCCAGATTACAGAGGTCTAAGACAACCTCCTTTTAGGGTCTCCAAGTTAAATCTTTAGCTGAGATGGTTATTGCTATTAGGCCAGGAATAATTTTTTGGTTTCTTGTTGACTTAATCACATATCCTAGAACCTCTCCTTGGTCTCCTGGTCACCAGACTTTTTATTGCAGGCAGAAGAGAGTCTTGGAGTCTGAGACCTGGCCTAGTCTTGCCAGAGAATATGCTCAGCATAGCGCAAGATAAATATTATGAAGTTGCCTGTGTCGGTCGGAGTCGGGCAAGTCTTTGGTCTCTGGAGGCCATCTACAGTGGTTGTGTTAACACAGAGGAAAACCGCAGAGTTGCTAGAGACCTAGAGAGGGTCATGAAACTACCATTTACATGTAACCCAACCCTGCAGAGAGCAGGTCTACAGAAGCCATGCTGTGAGATGGCATACTGAAATGATCTGAAGAAACAAGTAGGGAGCTAGTTGAATCAAGCTCCTGTTTTTGGTCTACAATATGAAATGTGCCTGTTTTGCAGAAAGTTTATCTTAGCTTTAATATTTTTGAAAAGCAGGGACAGCCAGGTTTTAAAAACCAAGAGAGGTTAGTGTTCCTGTTTGGTCGTAGCTGCTAAACACAGGCACAGGCTACTTGGTTTTTTTCTTAGACTGCTTTTATGTTTCCTTTTAGTGCAGCATTTCTGAGAAAGCTACTGGTAGAAACAGCAGATATGGGAACATAGGTGGTGCACTGATGTGGCATTATGTATTGATTCCCATGGAAACCAGAGACTATACAAGGAAATGAGAACTTCAACAGAAGTATTATTATTTTTGTTTCAGAAATAATAGAAGATAATGTATCTATGAAACAAAAACAGGATGGTGGTTTGGACATGGTGGCTTATGCCTATAATTCCAACATTTTGGGAGGCCGAGGTGGGAGGATTGCTTGAGGTTAGGAGTTTGAGACCAGCCTGGGTAACATGGCGCGGTCTCGTCTCGAATAACAGTAAGAAAGATTAGCTGAATGTGGTGGCACATGCTTGTAGTCCCAGCTATTTGGGAGGCTCAGGTGGGAGGATCGTTTGAACCCAGGAGGTTGAAGCTACAGTGAGCCATGTTCATGCCTGTGCATTCCAGCCTGGGTAACAGAGCAAGATACTACCTCAAGATAAAAAAAAAAAAAAAAAAAAGAACAGGATGATATAAAGAAGAATATTCAGTGAACAGTAACCATTGTTACTGAAAATTAAAATATAATAACAAAAATAATTGAAGGAAAGCATTGGAAGATGAAGTTGAGAAACAAAAAGAAAAAGAGATGAAATATTTGGGAGAAGAGATTAAGTTCATTTGAGAATCAATCAAGGAGGTCAAATACCAAACAATTAAGTGCTCTAGGAAGAGATCACAGTGATACAGAGGGGAAGTAATCATCCAAGAAAATGATTGAAGAATATTTCCCAGAAACAAAGAATATATTTTCAGATTGAAAGGGCCTATCAAGTGTCCAGCACAAACTTTTCTATTTTGAAATACCAGAATACCAAAGACAAAGAAGTTCTACAAGCTTCCACAGAGGAAGAAAGTAGATCACATGTTAAAGAAAAGGAATTCAGATTGTTTCAGACTTCTCAATAGCAAGACTTCAAGCTAGAAGACACTTCTGAAGGAGATTAATTTTCATCTTCGGATTCGTATCTGCTCAACTG